ACTGGAAAGCCAAATTTTGAAAGGACTGAAAAATATGATATGGAATTTGAGTTAATGATGCCCGAGAAGAGACTCTCCTCAGTGCTCAGTTCCCGCTCAGTATCAGAGATCATTTGGCAGTAATCTGTATTTTCTTGCACCCATCATCTGTAGTAGGATTCATGGCATACACGGCTTTTCCTATTTTAAGTCTTCTGCACGACTGATCTTAATTCCCTCACTTTGGAATCAGTAATGAAGCAGAACATTCTGTACTTTCCGTATTTGGGGGCTGTAAATAAAGCAAACCAGCAGCCTGGAAGGCTGTAAGTATAAAGGCAATGCAATAACTCCAGAGTACTTCAAATGATGAAGATACAGCAAATCCACAGACTTCTTTCAGCAAGACCCAGTGTGAACCTTCGCTGGGGAAGTGAAGTCACTTAACTGCCTGGGGAAACAAACATACTGAAGCTTGCATTTCTGCTTCTCTCAAATTAAGACAAAAAGTTCTACTTGAGGTTTCAATTTTGCTAATCATCATGGCTAATGTAACAAGTGTGTCATCCCTCTGGCACAAACATAACAGTGTGACTGTTTCAGGTTGCACTTTCAAGTACTGCATGCAATACCTCTACAATACACTCAGCACCTGATGCAAATTGAACCAGAGATGCTTACTTGTCACCCCAGCAGTTCAGGGGCTCTCAGCCTCTTTGCTTACAATGCCCTGTTTACAACCACAGTGCAAGCAATGGCAAGATATCCCTTATTTACTAAACAAAAATTGCAGAGTGAAGTGTAGGTAAAATATGTCTCACTAGCAATGAAGGACTTGTCTCTCCAGGTCAGGCCCAGCACACTGCAGTGGGGAAAATGGAAGTTTCTGCAGCTGAATTCAAAAGTTATCCAAAGTGATCATAAGAACCTAGGACAGGATCAGACCAATGGTCTATCTAGTCCAGTAACCTGGTCTCCAACAGGGGCAGAACCAGATGCTTTAGAGGAAGAGCACTGAACCAGATGTATCTAAAGCAATCATTATGTTCCCTAGCATCCATCATCGTTGGTTTAGAGATGCCAGAAGCTACATCTCTTCACTGTTTAATAGCTATTAATAAGATTTATCATACTGGAATGTATCTAGTCCAGGGCTTCTCAACCTTAGCCTCAATGAACCCCGCAGAAAGTGCCAGCTCTTAGTTTTAATCCCCCGTTTAACTACAGGAAAATAATAGTGCAATTCTGCTGCTGAAAAGAACTCAGAAAGATCATAACAGGTCAAAATGCGTTGACACTATTTCCTATTTAAAAACCCCGGGGGGGGGGGGAGAATCTTGGGAATCACATATGTATACCTAACAGGTTAACACTGTAAGGCACCATGCATCACCCTTGAAAGGATCAAGGCACACGAGGGTGCTATGGCACCATGGTTGAGAACCACTGGTTTAGTCTCTCTTTGAACTTGGCTACACTATCTGCCTCAGCCTCCTGCGGTAATGAGTTCCACAGGTTAACGATGCGCTGCACGGCAGAGTACTTCCTTGTGATCTAGCATGGGAATTGCACCAGTATTTTCTGCAGTAAAAGTGAGGCAAAGAATTCATTTAGCTTCTCTGCTCTGAGTGCAACTTTTTGCACTGTGGTCATCACCAATTCTCTCACTGGCTTCCTGCTTCCGATACAGCTGTTAAAAGTTTTTATTAACTTCAGCAAAGTTATTATTAATATATAGTATTTTTTGCCCGATGCTTTTTTGCCCTGCCTTATTTCCCTTTTTATATCTGACCCACCAGAGTATATGAGCATCCCCATTTTCCTCATTTGGGCACACTTTCCATTCTTTGAAGGGTGCCTTTTTGCCTTGGATGGCCTCCTTACCTCTGCTATTACGCCACACAGGGGTTTTATTGGACCACTTGATATTCTTTTTCATTTGCGGCATACACTTTTCCTGAAGCCTCCTGAACCCTAATCAGAGTCACCAATGCATTTAATTTAGCACAAATGTCCTCCTCGAAAAAGACACCCATCATTTCAGTACAAGGCACAACATTCAAGACAATCACCGATCTACTCTTTTCTTTCTGGGAAGTGGGTGGAGAGGCAGGGGGGAAGAGGAGGTGGGAGGAAAGGAATGGGGGAGTAACACATAATTCCAAACCTGGCTTCAAATATATTTTACAGTGCTGGGAAGTCTCTTCGTGGTCCAAGCATTTAAAAACTGCACTGCCCCGATATATTTGAACTGCTGCATCATTCAGTGCAGACGTGTTACAAGAAAACAAAAGAAAACAAAAAAAGAGAGTCAGAGGAACTAGTGACACCTTTAGTTAAATAGTGCATGAAACCAAAGCTACGTCTGACTTTCCAGTGGGCATACACATCATTAGTTTCCAGCCATAGCAGACCGCAAGAACTGCCTCACAGCAACTGCCATCTTGTTCTCCTTTCAACGCTCCGCATTCTCAAATCCCCACGTGGTTTTGGCAGCTGTTTTGCTGATAAGTGCTAGAGCCAGAAACCAATATTTCTACTTTCTGCAAGCTTGGAATCCTAGCTCGCAAAGCAGTGTGAACTGCTCACAAACTACTAAAATCATAACCAACCAGAGGAAGAGACAATGCAGTAATTTTTTATTTTTTTTTTAAAGACACTTTTTCAATTAATTAGGAATATGTTCGCAGGACTAGTAAGCACCAGTTAGAAGCATCTACTCTCTCCCAACTGTACAGTTGGTCCAGTCACAGCTGATGACCTGCAGAAATCCTTGCCTTTCATTTTCCCTGGACCAAAGCTAAAGCACTCCTAATCTTCACTTGTCATTTTCTATCCCCTCAAGTTAGAAACCCCTGAAGAAGTGCCCAGTGCACTGAAAGTACTTTCTCCAAAACAACCTAACACATTGAAAAATGAAAATGTGATAAAGAATTTGCATTCAAACTTTCCTTTTGACTCTGTGGATTCTAAGCCCCCTACTATCCTGCACTCCAAACATGTTAAAGCAGATTCACCTTCATATTAAAAAGGAAACCATCATGCGTCGCTTTCTTCATTCATCACAGTGCAGCCAGGATTTGACAGCACAGTTGTATACCTGGTTAATAGTATATTTAGAGGTATGGACCAACAGAGACAAGCAGCAGCTGCTATACAGTAACTGTTGTACCACTGCAGGATCATGCACAGAAGTGAATTAAAACTACCTTTAGCAAAATCTTGTTCTCACCCATCAAACTGTCATTTTTCTGGAGAACACTTGATGGACATCTGCCTTGGGATATGGTTTTCCGATTCCTACCCCCACCTCACCCAAAAATTAGTTTAGGGAAAAAAAATACACAGCTTTGCCAATATTTCAGTCTTCCAACTATTTCACTGATAAACTTATAGTACCTTTAGGTGGGGGTTGGAACAAATATGTGAAACTTCAAAAGACTACTTTTTGAAATCCATTTTTGGGGGAAAAGATGCATATATATAGCACAGCAGATGAGAGCAGAATGAGCAGAGAAGACGCTGCTCCCTACAGATGCCAGATTGTCAAGTGTCTGAGTGTGTACAAACCACACACACACACGGATTTTTTTTTTAAATATTTGGAAGGAATCCAGCAAAACCTTTACTTTTTGCTTGCATTTATGTTTAAGTATAGCTCTTTATCAGAGCTAGCATCTAAAACTGTTTTTTAATCAGGATTCTGGCAGCATGCACAAGCTAGAAGTTTGCTCACGTTTTTATGGTGGTTAGAAATTCCCAGTAAAAATAAAGCCCCCTATTGCGCATGCTGTAGTTCATGTTTCAGTCTGCAACGTACATGAGCCTTGGGAAAGTAATCAGATTGGGATTTACATCCCAGCAGTGACTAAAGAAAAACCATGGTCTACACAATCTGGTCCCAACTTTTTGTAATAATTAGTTACTAAGAAAATTATTTGAATTTGTTGCCATTACATCTTTAAAAGAGATGCTATCAAATGTATTAGTCCTAACACTCCACCTTTTTCCTCCCTATGTGTCCTCTTAATTCCCACTTTAAAATGTGTGGAACAAAAGGGAATAAAATAAGAGCTACTATTTATAAGAGAACTGGCCCACCTGGACTGACTGATGACACAAAAACAGAAAACAAGTTATTGCACTTGACTGCCAAGTTTTTAATGTAATTCCCTCTCTGCTGGTATGAAAAATATCCAACTCTTATACAGCCCTTTCCACTGATACATCTCCAAGTGCTTTACAAAGGAGACGAGCATTTTATCAGATGGGGAAAATGGACACAGATGAGCTATTCTGCCCAAAGTCACCCAACAAGTCCAGTAGCCAAGTGAGGAAGGGAACACTAACTCCCTGCTGTAGGATCTGCTGTTTGGAGATATGCAAGGTGTCATAGAACAACCCTTACACAAAAAGCAATGGGGAAACAGCCACACACGACTTAAGCTTCAGCACACCTGTGTGTACTATTTTAGAGTAGAATATACATTTAACTACAAGTTTCTTTACACAGTTCATTTTCCTCAGATGTTGAAATGGGTTTTTTTTCTTTTTTTGGTTGGGTTTTTTTGGGGGTTTGTTTTTTTTTGCGAGAACACCATTTAGGAGTGCTGAGCGCAAGTGGAGAACAATTGATTTAAGGACAAAGCTCGCCAAGATCAATAAGCACACAGGGTCATTTCAGAGCAAGACTGCAACTGAGGGAAGAGGGAGGGGAAGAAAGGGGAAGTGCCTGTGCACAAAAAAATGGGCCAGGAAAGAACTCTGATCTCTTATGCCCTTCAGATTTCAGCTTTTGCATCATCTGCCATATTTGAAAATGCTTTCCTCTAGTTACAAACTTAAAGTACAGCAGAAATGAAGCAGCCTTTGGCAACCCTTCTACCTCCTGCAACGTACTGCAAGCCATTCTCAAAGGCTGTTAGTAACGACGTTTCTTAGACTCCCCGTTTGTGCCGTTATGATGTGCAAATGAAGAAAGCAAAGAAAGCAGAGAGCTCTGAATGGTAGAGCTGACATACAAGTCTCTGTATTGGTCGAAGGCATTGTTGGCTTCCACCTCCAGCTTGCGCAGGCGGGCAGATGGCATGGCACCGTCTTCCAGAGGAGGATCATATTTGTTACTCCACGGTGATCTGTGGGGGAGGCAAGAAGAGAGAGAAAGAGAAGCTTAGACAATTGAGACAAACTCTGAAAGGCTTTGAAAAGGGCAGGCCCGAACCACAGATGTTTGAACTTTCAAGAAATGCTATTATCAAGGAGCATTAATCTGTCAGAACCTGGTCATAAACAGCCATTTTGAACATTGACAGCAAAGGGACTCAGACTCCTAAAAGTTTATTGCTTCTAGCTTTCCCCATGGATTCCCTCTTATCTTTGTGTTTCCATTATACCTATAATTGTTTTCGGTTTCTAATTCCTTTAAAAAAATGCAACCCAACCTCCCCCCCCCACTGCTCCCAGCTCTAAGTTAGAGCTTCAGCTATTAAAACTGTGCATATTTAAAAGACTTTGCAGGTGAAGTCCAACTAACCTGAGTAGCCTAGGTGGAGATTTGTTTGGACTTTAGCTTGTTTTATAGTCTACAAATAAAACCCAAATTCACTTCCACTAATTTGCTTTGAAAACAAAAACCACTTTTGTTTAGCTTGAGGAAAATATCTGAATAGCAAGAAAGATTTAACAGGGTTTGCAAACCTCTGGTTTCTGCAATTAATTTCTGCAGGTGTGGAAGGAGTGGTGGGCTTGTAACAAAAGGTTTGGTATTGGACAACTAATGGAGCTCTTTTGCTGGTCTGCTTGAGCATTTTATAATTCCCATTCTGTAAACCCACATTCTCCTTTTCATTTCCCCTGTGGAAACCTACCTACATATATCACTGCTAGTTTAGAAAAAAAGATATTCCTAGTCTTTGTGTAGCTGCTTTTTAGAAACTCCAGCCCGCTAACACCAGGTTTTAATGTAGTCCATACGCAAGGGTCTTTGCCTCCAGTAGTCATTTGTTATTCATTTCTCTCAAAGGCGTCTAGCTTTGACATCTGTTTAATACAAAGCATAAAGGACAGGGTCTACTTCCCTCTGGCCTTATACTCCCACCACATTTCACTTCCCTAACACTCCTCCATCCCCGACTTGGCTGAACAGGTGAGACACCAGGAAGAGTTAAATCATTGTGTCACAGCAATCCAGAACAAGACTTTTCAGGAAACCATTCACATTTTAAAAAAACCCTCATCTGCTCTGGTGAATGTTACCAGAATGTTAGTTACTTATTTAAAGAGGAGCCTACAGAGTTATAAAATGACTGTAATATTCCTAAGCAGAACAGATGCACATGGCAAATAGATCCAAAAATCCAACTCTGACAGCATTAGTGAACTGCTGGCAGGACAGCCGTTCTCCATCGTGCACCCATGCAGAAAGAACATAGGGTCTGTATTCTATGCACCCTGCAAGTATGGTCTATAATCTGCAGCATTCATACTGTATAGCTAATAATAATTACTACTATTACTACTATTTAAAGCAGATAGAGTCCTGGAAATACAGTTGTTTTGCAATAATTCCAGATGCAGTTATGCTACTCTATCAGCAGTGGTGGCCTTAGGGTTGTTGGGGTCCTGGGTAAGAGTCATTTGGGACCCCTTGGAGGCTTAATTTTGATGACCCATAACCAAGTTGGACATTGGCCGCAAAATGTTGGGGCCTCCTAAAGTGTGGTGGTTCCCTAGTTTGCCTTTCCCTAAGGCTGCCAGTGCTATCAGGTGAAAGGGAATAAACAGAAAAGCTGCGGTGTAGAGAAATGCCCTTTGCATTCCCTTCCCCTCCAACTGTAAATTATGGATTTCTTACAACAGTGAATGTCTTCCTTTCCAATCAAAATGAGCATTTTCCCCTGTCACAACAGCATATAGACCAAATATTCCAGTTTTCAAGCCAACTGCGTACTTGATCATTTTTCACCTGATAATCACCTGTGAGACAGACAAGTTTTAGAGGGACCAGGTGTGAGAACTAGGTCCCTAGAGCATTAGAAAGACATGGAAAGCAACTACTGCAGATGTAAGCAGAGTAAACTGAGAACCTACTTGAAGTATGAAGTCCAACAAATGTACAGCTTTAAATCAAGAATGCTCTAAAGAATTGGCTCTGACACTGAGTGCAGGGATGGTGTTTCTAACTATATATACTTTATGTTGTGGGTTATGAAGTTTAGTCTGGGGTAATTCATAGCATTTTTATTCTACCATATTTTATTTTTAAAAGTTCAAGAGGTATCTAGAAAAATGGATGCACATCTCTGCTGTAACTTCAATATCTGAATTCACTGGGTAAGAGCTACTTTGCAAAAAACATTCCTGTATTCCTGGCTGTATATTCCTAAACAGCAGCATAATTTTAACTTCTGTACGAACTTCTGAGTGTCTATTAACATTGCTCAAATCAGCAGAATGATAGAGCAGATAATACTGTTTGTACCAAAATTCAATAAGCTATTAAATTATTACAAGCTGAAAACTGCAATATAGATACTCTTTGAAGTGCTACAAGAAATGCCTTTAACATCAGACTGTACACAAAAAATGTACAGGTTCCTTAAAAAAAACAACAAAAACCACAAAACAAAAAACCCCCCACAAACAAACCTCAATTATCTAATAGCAGAGGCTACAATAGAGCATCTTTGCCAACAGTTGCACTGCGAAACCAAGTACTGGACAGCACATCTCTCTCATTCCTATACATCACGAGGGTCACATTTTTCCAGCCCCATAAGCCAAATGAAGGTTGCTGAGCCAATCTGCAGGTCTAATCAGGCCCCGCTGGAGCCAATGCACAGGGCTGGTCCAGCACAGGCAAGTATCCCAGGTCAACCCCTTGTGCCACCCATGGTGCACAGGGTCAGAGACCCACAGGCTGGATCTGGCCCATGCACTATATCTTTCACACCCCTGCTATACTTCATGTTCTTCAACTGTTTGCTTGCAAGCTGTCCTCTACCACCAACACATGCACGCTGATCAGCCCTGCTGTAAGCCTCTTATAATAAAACCGCATTTCCCTTGACTCTTGCCTCAGGAGGCACTTGACAGCATTTCCCTAGTCTCAAAGAAATTTAAAATTTGGCTCCAAATGCTGCCAACCATCAAAACCCGGCTGTAACTGATGAAGTTATTGTTGGCATTTACCAAGTTTAGCTATCCAGGGGCAGCAAACCAACACATCTAAACAAGATCTCCGAGCGATGCACCACAGCTTCACAAAATGCCGACAGACTGATAAGCAGCGAGACCTTCTGCTTTCAGTATGGAGCTGCGTTTATTTAAAATGAGCACACCAGTAACGCTGGTGTTTTATAAAAACTCCTGGAGCCAACCAAAGGAAGAGAGAGCTCTTTTCCTTCTGAACTGGAAATTATTCAGTACTGTGTGCGTGATATCTGAATACATATACACTGCTTTTAACTTACAGCAGATAGCAGAGCAAAGTGACCGAGCAAGATGACTGAACTCTGTAGCCGAGGAGGAAAAATCCTGTCTAAAACCCGTCTGGTTCATCACATATTGCTAACAATCTGAATTTAAAAGTCTGTGCTTGCAGATCAGTCAAAGCCCCTAAACAAAGAAATTCTGGTTAATCTCAAAATCTACTGGAAGACTTGCTATCTTGCTGCAAAAGAAAATATTTCAAAACCTTTGCCCATAAGGCGGGGACTTCTGCCCACCACAAACAACTACAAGCACCAACAAGCTTCAGCCGTGACTAGTACCAGCTCTTTCATCTCATCCTGGAGATATTTGCCACCACGGACATGCAAATATTCCTGAGGCGCATTGTTTCCTTAAACGTTACATGATCCTATGGATGAAAGATATCCTGTGACAAGCCAGGAACAATCAGCACAAAATTTTGAAGGCTGACTCATCCGGAGCTCTTGCCAGGATTCCATTTTCAACAGATCCCCACGTTGTGACATTGCT